TCGGTCGACCGATTGATTCTTATCGGTCGACCAGCTAGAAAGGGTTTGAAAACCCTGGCAACGCAATCGGTCGACTGATCTCTTAGGATCGGTCGATCTATTACACTATCTCAGGTTTTCTCAGGTTTCTGTGTTTTGTAACTTGTCTTGAAAACATAATTTTGTTAGCATGCAAGGTTAAACAAGATTTAACTTTCATGATTTCTCAATAAGGATTAAATTAAACATGGCTACATCTCTTGAAATTAAATAGTTAGGGTTTAACATTCTAATTAACAAAATTCTCAATTAACAACATATTTTTAATAACATGATTAATAAACAGAGGTTAATTCTAATCATTACACAGTTATAGATTAGCTTAAACAAGAATCACATCACCAAGACATCACATACTTAGGGTTTAAATATCCTAGTAAACAAAATTAATATTTACATTGGTTAAGGGTTTTGGATCAAATTAAAACATAATTAACAAATTAAAAACAACCCTAATGATCATGATCAACTATTCTTATTAAACAGAGATTTAAATTACAAATATTTTCATTGGTTTTAGATTTAACATCACAAACTAGGTTATATCACATTCGATTAAACTTTAAGCAGTAGATTAACCAATTAAACACATTAAATCATGAGTTACTAAAGGGAAAGGTTTGGAGGAAGATGATATTGCCTCAAACACTGTACTGAAACTCCAAACACGCGTGCATGCAAGATCTTCCTTCACCAAGATCGTAAATCCTATCTTCCTCTTGACAAATGCCTCAAGGAAACTCCCAGAAACTCACAATCTAGGGTTAGGGTTTGAGAGGGAAGGCGGCTGCTGATATATCACATGAAAGATGATCAAAATAGGTTTAAAATGAGTATATATATACTCAGGTATACAACTAGGCTTGAAGCAAAAAAAAAATAACCTGAAAACAAAACCCTGGAGCTGGAAGCCCATCGGTCGACCCGCCACAATGGTTTTGTGCATGTTTGTCTCACTTGAAGGGCTTTGTTGTGTACTTAGCTTAAAATGAGCTGCTAGCGGTGTGCTGACTGGCTTAGAGTTTAACATATTGAACCTCTCCAGAACACATTCAATATATCTTTCTTTTGATAGCCACAACTTTCTCGCACTTTTGTCTCGAGAAATCTTCATTCCCAATATATGTTGTGCTGCTCCTAAGTCCTATATGTCAAAGGACTTGCTCAACTCTTTCTTCAACCTATCAATTTTAGACCTATCTTTTCCAACAACAAGCATATCATCAACATATAGAGAGAGAATAATAACATCATCATCCTATAACTTTTGGACATAAATACAATGATCTGTAGATGTTCTTTTGTACCCATGGTCAAGCATAAAAGAATCAAACCTTTTATACCACAATCGAGGTGCCTGCTTGAGTCCGTACAAGCTCTTCATCAATTTGCAAACCAGGTGTTCTTTGCCTTTTACCTTGAAACCCTCTTGCTGCTCCATATAGATTTCTTCTGCCAAATCACCATGGAAGAAAGTTGTCTTCACATCTAACTATTCAACTTCAAGATCCTGAGAAGCAACAAGACCAAGAATAACCCAAATAGAAGACATCTTTACAACAGGAGAAAAAATTTCTCCATAGTCAACACCTTGCTTCTGACTGAAACCTTTCACCATAAGGCGAGCTTCGTACTTGACTTGGAAATTTCCTTCATTCTTGATTTCGAACACCCATTTGTTCTTTAAGGCTTTTATGTTCTTAAGTAGTTCTACCAAGTCATAAGTGTGATTCTTATGCAAAGAATCCATCTCCTCTTGCATAGCTTTCTTCCACTTTGCACGATCATCATAAACTTGTGCTTCATGGAAACTTTCCGGTTCACCTGCATCTGTTACCATAGTATACTCTGAAGCAGAGTATCTAGTCGAGGGTTATCGTTATCTTTCCGACCGTCTCAACTGAGGTACTTGTAGCTGATCTATATATGGTGCCTCTGGATGTTCATGCTCCCCTTGATCAAAACCTGGAGAACCTGCAATTTCTTCTTCTTGCACATCTTGAAAATCATTATTTTCTAGCATGGGAGAAGGAAAAACAATTGGTGTAGAGATTGAATCTGGGATGATATGAGTGTTTTGTGGCTCTTCTTCTTTTTCAAAATCAGCAAGTGTTTTATCTTCACAAAAAACAACATCCCTGCTCCTCACAATTTTCTTATTTTTAGCATCCCACAACCTATACCCAAATTCATCATTTTCATATCCTAAGAAAATGCATGGAATAGCTTTATCATCAAGCTTTGTTCTTTTCTCGTAATTACATGTACAAATGCCTTGCACCCAAACACCCGCAAGTGGGAGTAGGAAATATCCTTTCCACTCCAAACTCTTTCAGGAATATCTCCATCCAAGGGAACTGAGGGGGACATGTTTATCAAGTAGCAAGCTGTTCGCACTGCTTCTCCCCAAAATATTTTTGGTAATTTAGCTAAGGATAGCATACTCCTTATCCTTTCCACAATTGTGTGGTTCATCCATTCTGTAATCTCATTGTGTTGTGGTGTATGTGGAACAGTCTTTTGGTGTCTAATGCCATAAAAAGAAAAATAGTCTTCAAACATCCTTAAAGTATATTCACCATCATTATCAGTGTGAATACATTTCAAGAGCTTTCCGGTTTCTCTTTCAACTTTAGTATGAAAGTCTTTGAAAACTTCAAAGACTTGATCTTTGGTTTTTATGACATACATCCACACCTTTCTAGATGCATCATCTATGAAGGTCACAAATTATGAGGCACCACTAAAAGTTTCTCATTTATGGGTCCACATACATCCGAATAGACTAAGTCCAATATACCAGTTTTCTTTTTGTTATAATTTTTAACAAAAGCTCCCCGGTGTTGTTTCCCAATCAAGCAGTGATCACAGTGGGATAGTGTTGTACCTTGCATAAATGGAAGTAGTTGTCGCCTTGCGAGAGTTTGAAGCCCTTTCTCGCTCATGTGGCCAAGCCGCTTGTGCCACAAATCCATAGAGATACCTTTCACTGTTCCAAGTTCATCATTCTCTAAGTGAAACTAAGTCTTATAGAGAGTACAACACTTCTTTCCTCTCTCTAGTACAAGTGATCCTTTGGTATGCTTCCAACATCCTTTACCAAAGCTACTCGTGTATCCTTCTTCATCAAGCTTGCCATTAAAGAGAAGATTGAGACGAAGATCAAGCACAAATCTAACACCTTTTAGAACCATCTTTGTTCCAAGGTTAGTAGTAACAAAAATATTCCCAATGCCAAGAATTTGAGAAGAGTTTTTGTTACCCATTTTTACCATTCCAATATTACCTTCACGAAGAGAAGTGAAGTAGTCCTTCCGGGGAGTAGCATGGTAGGAGGCACCAGAATCAATCACACATTTCGAGTCTTGGCAAGTGAGATTTGCACAATCTTCTTCATATGCCGAGAAAAGCACAATTTCATTGTCACTAACAACGGCTGCACTTTCATTCATTTCTTATTTTTCATTGGTCTTTCCTTTCTTTTGTTCTCGCTTGAGCTTGAGGCATTCCCGTTTTATGTGTCCATTCTTCCCGTATTGATAGCAACTAATATCATTTCTAGCCTTTGATTTTCCTCTTGACTTGTCTTGATTCTGAGACTGTCGATATTTGCTCCTCCCCTGTTCTCGGTAACAAGAGCATGAGAATGGGAGGATCCAAATGACTTTCTTCGTATTTCTTCATTCAAGAGGCTGCTTGTAACTTGGTTCATGGATACAACTCCATTAGGTGCAGAGTTGCTAAGAGACACCACCATCGTCTCCCAACTATCTGGTAACAAGCTAAGCAAAAGAAGGGCTTGAAGCTCATCTTCCAACACCATCTTCATGACTACAAGTTGATTTACAATACTTTGAATTTCATTCAAATGTTCAGATATAGAATCACATTCGTTGAACTTGAGATTGACAAGCTTCCGAATCAAGAAAGCTTTGTTACGGGCGGTCTTTCTTTCATTGAGATCTTCAAGTTTCTTCCACAAGCTATTCGTCGAAGTCTCATTTGACACATGGTGGAGTACAGTGTCATCCACCCATTGTCGAATGGTGCCAATGGTTTTCCGATCAAGTTTCTTCCAATCATCCGCCAACATGGACTCTGGCTTGGAGGATTCACCTTCAACTGGTGTATAGAGGTCCTTGCAATATAGAATATCCATCATCTTCGCCTTCCATATCATCCAATTACGACCATTCAAATTGATCATTCGAATGCCGCCGATGAGAGTCTCCATCTTAACACAAAAAGATTAGCAACCTCGCTCTGATACCACTGATGGGAAATAAACAGTATAACAAGACCTTTCCCATCTTTGTGATGAGATGAGAACAAAAATAGAAGGAAAAAACATAAAGAGAGATTGCACACATAAGATTTACCGAGGTTCAGCTCAAATTGAGCTTACGTCCTCACCCGCCCCTTCTTCACCGTTTCCACTATAATCAAATTAAAGCTTACAAATGATGTTCTCTCAAGTTGATATAACTTAACTTGAGGATCACTTTCTCTCAAACTCACTTGAAAATTATAACTTTCTCTCAAACTCACTTGAGGATTACAGATTGTATGTGGTTCTTATTCTTGCTTCTTGTTTTCAACCTTCACCATCTCCCCTTTATTTATAGGGAGGATATGCCTCTTGCGTACACCACATTCATTACAAGGGGAAGTCAAAAGACTAGTCCTTCCTTTTCCTAATGCATGAGGAAAGACAATCTATCAATGCATGAATGTAATGAACCATAAAATCTCCATGGATTAAATCCATATTAATTCATCATGGGGATGGACCCCGTTCCCATCAAGTGTATCCTAAGTTGATATTAGCACCACTATTAGTAACTCCACAGAGTAAAACTAAAAAGAAGAAAAGCAGAAAACAAATGAGTTCGACTCCGAGCAAACACACAGAGGAAAATGGAGAACCTTGGTCGATGAAAAACAAAAAGGGAGCAATCAAATGAGAAACGAAAAGACCCAAGTTACTTCTACTTAAACCAACTCACTGTCTCTATAGTTGTACATTGTTAGAAACCAAAATTTGACACAAGGAAATAATACGTCACCCATCCCTTTGTCTCGCTATTATAGATTAACGTACCATCCTCTTCAACAACATAACCACATGCCCTTAAGAATAAGCTGCTGCACAAAATACGCTGACCCAAAATGAGAGGATGGGATACTTTTTTCGTCTATTTACATATTTCACTTTTCACGGTTGGTTAGAATGTAAAAGCCAAACTGCTAGTCTTCTAAAATCCAATCATCCATTGAGGTCAGTTCTTCAAGGCTGATGCTATTAGTCTGCCGCAAGCAAAGATTGCTTCGCACAAACTCCATATCAGCAAACTTCTGTTGCTCAATGCAGCTTCTTGCATTAGCATGCAATTGCTCTGATAAAACTCTCCTGAGTTTGTACACAGACGTGGTGCTGCAAGTCTGGCTAAGAGTTTTCACAGCGAGTTTCTGTAGCTCGGGGCAGTCGCTTCCATATAAACACCACCACTCTGCTGCAAATGTGGAAAGTAATAAATAAGAATCAAATGTATTATTCATAAAGTGTGGTTAACTTGAGATCCTGCTATATAGGCCATCTTGAGAGAACGAATAGGGTCAGAATGCATGGTTGATATACAATGTCGTAAAAGCTTTGAAGCATAGCAACTAGTAAACTAGGTATAGAAGATAAGCCATATTATCATATATGTATTGCAATAACAGCATAAAAACACATAATATGTGATTGCATGTGGTGTTAGCACTTTTTTTTTAAATAAATCTGTTAACAGTTCATCCAAGATAATACAGCAAATTGTATTGCACAAAAACTTCAAGGAAAATAAGTACAGCTGGTTTCCAGCCCCAGTCTGTTGATCCAATTTATCAACAACCTCAAATAAAGGATTAACATTGGCGTGGGGGACTAATAAAGGATCACTTTTAAAAGACGTGCTTCTGCCGACTGCAAGCACGAAAACATGGATATTGTTAAGGAGCTTCTCAACAAAAAAAAAAATTATGATGAGCTATGGTCAATTCACAGATAGTGTATAATGCATGAGCAAGAAATTGCAACAACGCATAACCTTTCCTCCTAACCTACCCTGATGCTGGCAAGATAAGTCTCTCTGTCTCCACCCAAAAATATGAAAGTGAGAAATCAACCTACCCCTTTGGCCAGTAGCCAATATTTACCCTTTATTTCATTTGTATTTGGAAAACTACCTCCAGATTTCAGTATTTGCAAAATTACCTCCAAATTATCATGTTTGAAAAAAATAATCCCAAAATCAACAAATTGTCAACTTTGGTAGGATAATTTGTAACTGCAATGCAAAAATATCAACAAAATAGTCAAATGTTTACACACCACATCCAACAAATTGGATGATTTGTTGATTAAGGGGTATTTTTGTTTCCAAAGTTGATGATTTAGGGGGTATTTTTGCAAACACACATAATTTAAGGGGTATATATCCAAAAAAAAGGAAAAAGAGCCCAAGAAAACAAAGATGGGTACTAAGGGTCGAGGATCAGTTTCAATATAATGTATAACTGAACATCTAAGAAACAAGGAACTCACAAGATCATAACAAGTTACAGTTAGGAAAAACAAAGATTGACTCTTAATAGTAAACTCTAGGTCTATACTTTTCCTTCTTGTCATTGACATATTCTGCTGCTCATCATGTTAATTGACTGGAATTACTAATATCTCAGTTCTTACTGTGTTGTCTCTTCTTGCTGGACAAATTTTGTTAAATATTTAAGTCCTCATGCTGTCCATTTTTAGTCTGAAAAATATAATTCATTACACAGATTTTCAAGATATAAACAGGATTATTGCAAATGTTCTGCTCATAAGTAGAAGGATATCAGAATATGATTTATTACACCAATCATAGCCATAATTGTCAAGCCTTGTCCCCGCTATATATGATCAACCACAGCGGAGCTGGTCAACCAGGACGACGTCTTATGTGATGCAACTAGTTAAGGTGTATAATTACCATCCTCAATTGAATAAGACTACTATGGATTACCAAAGTCATCCTTTCAATATATTTTGCATGAGCAAGACATAAAATCCAAAAGTACTATAATTAATAATCAACAACAGAGTCGAAGACGACATTTAATTAGGTTTGGTTACAGGGGCAGTTTGTTTTATTTTTATATTTATGGAACTCATGCATCTGACATAGTAAGCGTAGGTCATATAATTAACATTTCCGTAGTTTTATAACTTGTATTCCTATACTCATGTAGCTATAGAATGAACAGTCATGCAACTAATGTTCCTGTAAGCCATGCTCTTATAATTCTCACTCATATAACTCAAAGTAACTATGTAATCCTTCCAATTCCCACTTATATAACTTAAGCCATGTAATCCCTATAAATATGGACTCTCTTTGGGATGACCCATGCTTGCCTAGTCTTGCATCCATATAATTCTAGTTCTTTTTCCTTTTGTTGGCCCCTTACTATGTATGATGTTAAGTTCTGTAAAAATATAATTCTATTTTATTCTCACTTTTTATATTTGTTCACACTATACACATATTTGAAAGTTCATGTCAGCTACACTCTTGAAGCAAGCTCCAATATCTAATGTCTATTCATGTGAGGCTATTAATATAAGTCGGATACTAAATGTTTTAAGCTTGTGCCCTTGTATCATATTCTAACTCATCCTGTGTTTTTTCAGTTTCTCATATACATAAGCTTGCAATTTATACGCTTGAATTAAGAGTCCTCTTCTTGAATACCCTTAGAAGTTATGTTTACTTCCTGTGGTTCCTGTAATTCATGTGTAACAAGAGAATCCCACAACCTAGATGGCTATAGAGTCTCACCACTTCAGTGTATCCTGTTAGATATTATTAATATTCTTGAGATGCCGTGAGACGTGATTAGATATAATTTTATCTCATACCTATTTTATAATATTTTCCTAATCACTATTTAAGAGAATTTAGGGTTAGATGAATAAGGAACTTTGCCTTCCCTATTTTCTCTACATATCCCAATACTAATGCATATTGCATACAACATAATCTTTGTTATGAATTATTAACAAAGTAAATGTTATATTTGTATTATGGATCTGGAATAGCAATGTGGGGCAGAACTGGTTTCTTTCATTATGGATGAAAGATGATGTGCTTATTCCCTTATTAGATCATCATCGATGATTCAAGGATGGTGTATGATGTGATCATAGGATCATTCTGGCAGGTGACTATAGGGTGCCAAATCAAAGTCTGAATGAGTTACCCTTACGATGGATGGGAGAACGGATGTTTAAATTTTGGGATGAGGAAGAAGAGGTTTATTAAATGTGGGGTTTGATATATTCAATAGACTGAAGAGTTTATAATTAGTTATCATTTGGGTTGAATCAAACGAACCTCAGATTAATGAGTTACATCTTCTAAGAACTCAGAAAATAAATTAAGCATGAAATTTGTGTTGGGTTTGGGTCACTATTAGTGGAGCATTAAACCCAAATCTAATAAAAGTTAGCATAATTGGTTAAACCAATTTGGAGAGAGGCTTGATGGCAATTTGATCTTTTTGCCATTGTGGTAAAAATAAGTTTCGTTTCCCATTTATTCCTGGAGTTTTTTTAACAGCCCTTGAAAGAACAACATCTAGAGAACTGAAATCAAGAAAAGAAGAGAGAAAAGAGGTGCATTTTTTCCTACACGGTCTGAGGAAAATCGCCAATCCAAAGCCATCTACCGTTAGATCGGGCTAAAATTTGGTCAGCTGATAGAGAACACATAGGGCTACAATCTGAACAATGGTGATCGGATTGGAGCTCTGTGGTGTTAGGATTTGGACTCGAATACAATCTTTGTGCAATTCCTTTGGGTGAGATCTTTTTCAATCTTCACTATCCTATGTATTACTGGTGTTCAAACATTTTCAAGCTTCAATTGAAAGACAGGCTGAGAGAAAGTTGAAGTGTATCACAACATATAATGGGGACGAGTACACAGGGCCATTTGATGACCATTGTATAGAGCAAGGCATTTAATATCAAAAGACACTTCAGCTGAATGGTGTAGCTGAAAGAATGAATAGAACCTTGATTGAGAGAATGAAATGTTTGCTTTCACATGCAGGACTGTCGAGATCATTCTGGCGTGAGTCTTTATCTACTATTGTTCACCATATATTCTTTTGCAACATGATGTTCCAGATAGAGTTTGACTAGGCAAAGATATCTCTTATGATCATTAGCGAGTCTTTGGATGCAAGGCTTCTGTGCACATTACCAACTATAAGATGTCGAAGCTTGATGTAAAGACGAAGCAGAGTGTATTTCTAGGCCAAGATGGGTTCGGCTATAGGTTGGATAATCTAATTGAAAGAAATTTGTTAGAAGTCAAGATGGGATGTTCATGGAAGACTAAAACATATCGGAAATCGACAAGACAAAGAAGTTGCCATATTGCAATGATGTCTTTACAAATTTGGATTCAATACCTCCTAGAGTAGTGCTAGAATGTGTTCAGCATGAGATGCAGAATGATTAGCAAGATACAGATGATGCCAACACTTCTACACAGACTAGATAGACGGTAATGATGATGATGATGGACATGTTCAGCCACCAATTTTAAAAGATCCACCTAACTGTTGCACCTAGGAGGTCTATCAGAAATCAACAGCCTTCCAATAAATACTCTCCTAACGAGTATGTATTACTGACGGGGGAGAACCTGAATTTTTCAAAGAACCTATGTAAAATGAGCATCAGAAAGAGTGGGTTGAAGCCATGAAAGATGAAATGAAGTCTTTGTTGCATGAGAATCACTGATGGGAATCCATCGAGTACATTCTAGGAGAAAGAAACATATGATATGATTTGGAGGATATGATTGATTTTGGATTTATTCTTTATGATTTCAAAGATTTTAGTTGGTAGGATTTTATTTGAGTTTCTATTTTTGATAAGATTTGAGAGTGACTTAGCGATTTGATTTGATTTTGTTTGTGGTTATAAATAATGTGAAGCCTTTATGGAAGGCAAGCTATTTTTGATAGGAGAATTTGAGATTTAATTACCGCATGTAAATTGCTTTTAAATAGGTGTGAAACCTAGGGTGTGGAGCCCATTATTTAATCTCAACTCTCTATTTCAAAATCCATCAAATCTCAGCCCTCATAACAATTAAACAATATTCATAATTCTCAGAAACTTCTATATCGTCACTGTTCACATAAAAGTTATTTTGATTACTATTCATCACCTTCAACCCTCAACCTCACTTCCAATATAGCCGATCCAATTCTAATCATCTCTGACACAGCCACAACATTGACGACGATCCTCACATCCCTCTCCAACCATGAGGCCATCAATAACTACCATTCTCTTCTTTAATCATCATCAATTGAAACTCCAGCTCTCACTGACATTGAATAGAGCTCCATCAGATCCCTAACTTCTTGACCTTGAGATTAACAAGTTCTTTGGCTTTTACGTTATTATTTG